GCATTCCCGGAGGCGTTTAACGCTGTCAATGAAATACTCGCGGACAGTACGGGCGTTTACGTCTGCATGATGTACCGCCATTCGACTTGTCCATATACTGTGGAGCCCCAGGAGCAGGATTGTGTCAAATGGTACCGGTTCACTGTCTGCCGTTAGAAAACGAATCCCATACGGTGTTAACGGTAGTTCTTTTTTGATTGTGCGCTGGAGCAAGTCCCAGTATAGCAAAGCATCCCAACAATCTAAAAAGACATGCTCGATACTTTCTGGCTGCTTGCATAATTGGCAGTTTACTGTCCAGTACAAATTTATTCCTTTAGCTTCTAAAAAAGTTTTTACGGGTAGTGTTTCACTGTGTAGTTTAAAAAAGAACGTTTTAACCCCAGGGGGAACCAACGCTTTTTTAACATGTTTTTGCACGTCCTGTCCGGGGGCTCCAGCGTATATGGACCTATACCGTGGCAAGGACATTAACACATCCACCAAATCTCGCGTCAACCTTTTGCGCGATACAACAGACAAATAATCCCGAGAAAACCGTACAAAAAGGAAACGACACGATGATACAACTTCTCTCAAAAAACGCGATAATGTTCCGTAACGAACACGGCATGACGAAACCACATAACTGGGCAACACATCAAAGAGCTTTGTTTGTATTACCGTGCGCAGAAATGGGTCAGATTGATCGCGCACAAACATAAATCGTGTAACGAGTTGACGGATGAAGAAGTGACACAGACCAACACCACCATCTCGGGGTCGAAGGAAAAGATTGGTTCTACTAGTCCGTTCCCATTGAGACGCCCAAATGAATACTGCAAACACCCGGTTAATTCGCTGAATATTGACTCTAGAACAATGTAATACTTGAAGAACGAACCATAGTTTCGACATAAAGAACAAGTTACAAACTGTCGCACGTGCGAAGATCGACAATTCTTTCGTTACCCACTTTTCCGCGGTTGCCTTCAGTTGATTAGTTTCCTCCCGCCAGTAGTCGTTATTTTCGCGATAATGTCTTAACGGGACACCTAGATACTTTTGGGGTTCCCGAGCCCATTGGATATTTTCAAAAAAGTTTGGCGCAGAAGCCCACTCTCCGTGCCATAGCCCGTAACACTTCGACCAGTTGACCGCACATGCTGTGACGTCACAAAACCGCTTAGTCGCTTCCACAGCCCTTGTGACGCTTCTAGAGTCTGAACAAAAAACAGCTATATCGGCTGCATATGCTAAAATTTTTACTTCGCACTCGTGCAAAGTGAAACCCCTAATGTCCTTACATTGAATGATGTTGCGGCAGAAAGGTTCCAAAAAAATCGCGAAAAGTAACGGGGATAAAGGACACCCCTGCCGTACTGAAGAAAGAACGTTTATCCGCTTAGTGACTTCTCTGTTAATTATTAATTTTATTGAACAGTTTAAATAAGCCATTTTTACTCTTTCGAGAATGAGAGACCCGATTCCTACGTGCTCTAAAATTTGAACAAGTACGTCATGACATACACGATCAAAGGCTTTTTCCAAATCGATTTGGAGCAGTGCGATTGTCCGATACTCAGCATCACAACACTCCAGCACACTCCTAGCTGTGTGTATAGTCGTACAAATACTCCGGCCTTTAATTCCGCAGGTTTGATGAGGTCCTACAATTTTCCAAATTACACTCTGCAAACTCCTCGCTAACACCTTCATGAGAAATTTATAATCAACATTAGCAAGGGTGATAGGTCTATAGTTGCTAGGGAAGCGTAGCTTAGAGGCGTCGTTACCTTTCGGTATCAAGACTGTATGCGTACACAAAAAGGAGCCCGGTAACCTATGACTCCGATAAGACTCATTAAAAACCCGATGCAACAACGGCGCTATTTCTGGTTTGAATTTCTTGTAAAATGCAGCCTACTTTGAACCTTTTCAGTAAATTGCTTATCGTCCAAGAGCTTAGCGTTTAGCTTCCATAACTCCCAGGAGAAGCTAGAGCGGTTCTTGCAATGACCCACTGTGAAAGTCACTACGCTGTGGTCACTGAAAGACACGTAACTGACTGCATAACTACCACATTCGGGCACAATGTCGACCGAAACATACGCTCTGTCCAGCCTCGCATGACTGCTACCTTGGTGGTGCGTATAGATCACACGATTACCGGTTGACGTACATTGCGCTACGTCTTCAAGTTCGAAATCTTTAACCAAATTATTTAGCTGCTCCCCGGATTTATCTCTGTTGTGTGGTCGGTTTGATCGGTCTTCAGGTGAACAGATGCAATTAAAATCTCCTAATAATACCATGATTCTATCACTCTGGAGGTAAATGGAAATATTTTCAAAGAAAGTGCATCGCTCGCTTTCCACATTGGGGGCGTAAATGCATATAACCCTCCACCTTAAATTGGAGAAAGAAAAGTCACAAATAACAAAACGACCCGACGCGCATGCAATAACATTTTCCTCCATGATTCCTGATGCTTTCTTCAAAAACAGGCAACAGCCGCCTGACCTACCGACAGAGTGGCTCACACATACATTGTACCTCGACATAAACGGTCGCACCATGAGGTCGGTCTGACTCATACACTCAACTTTTGTTTCTTGGACAGCAAGTACGTCCAGGTCGTTCTCCGTGAGTAGGCGACTAAGTTGACACTGGCGGCGACGTGCCGCTAAGCCCCTAACGTTCAGAGTTCCAATACGGAGCCCGGACGTGAGCCCTACCATTTTTTGTTTTGTTTTTGTTTTTAGTGTCGACAGACCAACCTCCTGGTGCTTACCTGTCGCTTGGCTCCTGCAGAGCTCGGCTCATGGCGCAGAGGGTCTCTGTGACAGTTCCCCATCGCGGGTCAGCGACGAGGACCGCAGCTTGGTGGCGTAACGACCTTTCTTTCCGATTAGTTTCCACTGGCCTTGTGGGCGATGTAGCTCCTATGCCTGTTGTCCTTGGTCTCATCATCCAGTCGCCGCTTCACATTCGCAAGGTCCAGTTCCATTAGTGGCTCGTTCACGTCACCCTTGTCCACGGCGTCTGTGCCTCCCGCCGTCGTCGCCTGCGTCTCCTTTCCAGGTTCCTCAGCGTCGGGCGTCGAGGCCTTGGCCGTCACCTCTGCTGCGTTGGTACCGTTAGTTGTATCACCTGTCGTAGCTTGCTCCGTTGTCTCCGGTAGGCTCGAAGGCAGCGTCGCCGCCTCCTCCGTTTCTGTTTCGTCCATGATGATTTCGTCATCTTCATTGGTGGCTCGATTAACTACTGCGCTAGCATACGAGCGCACGCACTCCTGGGACACGTGGCCGAAGCCTCGGCACTGGCCGCACCGGGGCACACGGCAGTCACGTCGTATGTGTCCTGCCCTGCTGCACCGCAGACAAACCGGCGCTCGTCCAGGGACGACAACAAGGATCGTGCCCCCGTTAAGCTTCAGCTGGTGAGGCAACTTGTCCGGCGTCATTCCCTCCTTCAGCGTGACTTTGGCAATCCTTGTGGTGGACTCGATATCCTCGAAGCCATCCACACGCCAGTTTTCCTTGCTCACCTCGTTGACAGTCCCGTACTCTTCCAAGGCTCTTCGGAGAACGTCGTTGGGGACGTCGAAAGGTACCCAATGCAGCTTGACCCGCACTTCCTGCCTGTTGGGGTCCACGGGAATGCACAGTTTACCTTTGACGGTAAGCCAGCCCAGCTTGAGAAGCCGCTATTTCGCCGCCGCACTCCTCAGGCTGCACAGCCACACGTGTCCCATCTGGCATACGCCGAGCCCTGCAACTTCTTTGAAGATGTCGACCTTTTCCAACGGTTCCTTGAAGTCTCCAATTCGAAGCGGCCTGGCATTTACGTCGCAGTGAAGATAAACTTGGTTCTTCGTTTTATCGCCCGCCGGCAACGTCGGCAACAGAATCCGGTAATCAGCGGGGATACAAAACGCCCTGTCACCACGGCCGGCAACGACCGTTATCGTCGCTCGATCGGAGCTCGCCATCCGTGCGTCCGCACTGCTCGGCAGCCGAAACACGAATGCGGACGTCTCTCCACTGAGCTGCTGGAGGAACTCTTTCATGTGTAGTAATGCAGCCGGGAGACTGTATGTCGGAAGTTTGCTGCCGATTTCCCTTCAAAACATGCACTCCTGCTTTGAAGTCGGGCAGCACCACGCATAGGCCACATTCGCACCTTGTAAAGAAACCGTACGCCTGCGTATTCAGCTTGAAATACGCACTTCGTGCTTGACGTTTAAGCGAGCGATGTCTTCAGCCACAAGAAGGGACGACGACTCGGCGACGTCTTCGTGCAATCGGCTTGCTGGTTGGGCGTGTCGTACGGGTAAATATCAGTTCTTTTGATCGGTCCAAAATTTCTCTTTCGAAAAAAGACAGAATTCGCCGGTCCCGTGAACGACAGTTCTAAAGTAGAAGTCCAACGCCCGTCCTCCACTGCTATCCGCTAGACCCACGATACGCGAAACGACGAAATGTTGAGAAAAATGCTGTGAACGCACAGAACGCTTCCGGTTGTTTGTGGTACCTTAACGTATTTGCAGTTTTTTGGAAGTCACAAAAAGTGGGTTTCATAGTTTTTTTCAATTTTTAATATTGACTGTGTGCCTTCATTGACCCACGACTTTGATTAAATTTGGTGGTCGCGTCGAAAGCTTAGAAAATGGAGAAGAGAGTGAGCGCGACTCAAACCGGCTGTTCTGGGTCGGCGGTTTTCGGGCGGAAAGAAACCGAATTTCGAGCCGCAAGTTCTGTTCTGGATAGTTGGGCTCTCATATGTCACGTACAACTAATAACCTTGGCGAGCATAAATACCCTGTCAGTGTCCCTTTACCAGCTCCGCTGTAAAAAAATAAAAAAAGAAGACATAGCGGTATGGGGTTTGAGCTTTGTAGCCTTCCGCAACAAGATAAGCTAAAACGGCTTCGGGAATAGACCATAATACATCTTTGACGCCGCGAAAGATGTATGTTTGTGGCGTTTAATCTCAAGCCCAACATAAAACTCGCTGACCTTTTGTTTGCTCCTTAGGGCGTTCTGCTGGTGCTCGGTGAACTCTCCGATGCAGCGACTGCCCCACAGGACGACGCTCATACGCGTGTAGGTGACCGCCATGGTGGCTACAGGCACCACGTACGTCAGCACCAGGAAAACCACGTTGTACCTGCACGTGAACCGTATTGGGAGATGAGTCAAAGCTGCAATGCATTTAACTCCTTCTTTAATTTGGCGTCAAACTCCGTGGTGCCATCTATTGGGTAGCCCCGCCACACTTCCGGTTCACGTATATTTCCCAATTTTTTTTATCATTCTTTTATCATTGGAGTGAATTTAGTCTGACACAGCTAGAAGTGGCCATTTCCAGGAGATAGCCTGTACATTTGATTTCGCCAGTACTTCGAAATCCGCCGCCTAGTTCAGAACCGGAACTGCTTGGGGGTTATTTGCACACTGGCGCCACCACGTTTCCACTCACGCGAGAAAGAGCGAATAAGCGGGTATCGCCAGCACCATCTAAATGGACAGCCGTCGTTCCGAATTTTCTTGGTCTTCAACTCATGACCAACGCTGGACGCGGATTAGTCAAGAGCTGCGTCACTGTTCGGCAGGATATCCTGTTTTTACTTATTAGAGAAGTGTTCGATCCGAACACTGTCGTAGGATTTGTTTCCAACATGCCTCCCGCGCTGAGCGGAAGTGAAACATGAAGGTCAGCACTACTCCCTTTTGTTTTTGTGCTGTTAGTGGCACTGCGTGCTGCTTCTGCCTCTCCATCTTGTGATCATGGAAGACTGACGGAAGAGTCAGTAGTAAAAGGTGTCGCCTTCAGTGTCAATTCTTAGTGCGGAATTCCACCATACTCAGTTCAGCCTTAAAAGGACCGTGCATCAATATTCCATTGGAATGTTTTTCACTTTGCACAAGCTTACTGGCACTAGTGGGACTCAAGGATACTCGCACGCAACGCCACTGGCCAAGAAACTCCTTTGTTGCGGTGTAATTTCAAGCACAAAAGCGAGCGCTTCCGTTCTATCTCTCCTTGGCAAAACTTGATGACGTAACTGGGCGGTCGCAGTACTTCCCAGTAACGATAATTGGATGCGGCTGATGGACTGGACTTGAGCATTGCATGGGCACTCAATTTGGGCTCGTGTCCAATCGCTGCAATGGCCGACAACAGCCGAACCATAAAAATATCTGGAACTGTGCGCTTGTTATGTGGCTTGCCAACCCCAGCGCGTGGGTGTAATCAACATTGGCGGCATACAATCGGCTTTAGATCACGTGGCCGCTTTTTCTGTCTGCGTGTTGACGGGGTGAACGCTGCTCGTTATTCTTTAATTTTTTCTGCGACTTCGATTGCGTGTTGTAAAACGATCGAGCGTTTCACAGGTCATTAACGTTAGGGATCCGTTCTTAGCAGTATTTGTCCAAAGTTCAAAAACTGTTGCATCATCCGACTGCAGCCAATCTCACTAGCATAAAAGCTTGAGGTCGCTGCTTCGAAGGGTTCTTCCGCAGAACGAGAACTCGCGCTAGAAATGCACGTCTCAAAGTCAGGAGCGCGGGCTAGCTCGCGCTCTTAGCTTTGGCTGCAGTCTCAGCTTCAGGATGAACAGAGTATTGGCAACGTGTGCGATCGAAAGCGTCGGGGTGGTCGGCCTTCCACAATTGGCCGAATGCTGACTATGACGTCAGCAAAGGAGTTCTTATGGACGGTAATAAGAGGAACGTGAGGACTTTAATTTTGACGGTGTTGACAGTGTTGGTTCAAGAACGCTATGATTTCAAGCTTCCGCCATGCTAATTACAAACACAATCGAACTTGTTGTTCGCAAGGTAATGACGTCACAAAAGGTAACCATACAAGGGCGCCACCGAAACACCTCGCCGCTAATAGAGCAAGATACAGAAACAATCGACACCGATGCAGCGTGGTCGCGACAGTACATTTCGCAGGCTTACAATCACTCGTGCATGGTTGTGCCTACTTCACCGGCACGAGAGGTCGCAAGCTTGCCAAAGGTAAGGGAGTATTCACTGGACGCCATATTTGTGGGTATTGTTTAGAGCGCATGCTCAGAACGAGCCCACATTAATAGGCTGCTAAGGCCGGCACTCTTGATGGTGCGGAATGCACGTTGCAAAAGAACTGTGGAAACTCGCCATCAGCACGCGCTCAGCATTCGCGCACAGAGCTATGGCCGCCAGTGAATACTCTTTATATTCGTATGCATGCTACAGGTGCTGGAGGTTTTCTGTGCCAATTTTCTCTGTGTATCGTTCTATACTCGGTTAGCAATTAAGCTGGGACTACAGCCGAAGCTACAAGCGCGAGCTAGACTGCGCTCCTGTTTTTGAGTCGTGTATTTCTTGCGCGAGCGCTCGTTCTGCGGATCAACGTTTCAAAGCGGAGGTCCTGTGCTCTCGCGCTTGCAGCATTGGCTGCACTTTCAGCCTAAAGGTGAACAGAGTATTGGCGACGTGAGCGACCGAAAGCGTCGCTGTGGTCGGCCCACCGCAATTGGCCGAATGCTGACTATGTCGTCAGCAAAGGATGTCTCATCGATGGAAATAAGAGAAATGTAAGAACTTCAATTTTGACGGTGTTGGTGGCGTAGCTTTGAGAGCGCTATGATTTCAGGCTTCCACCATGCCCATTACAAACGCCATCGAACTGGTTGTTCACAGGGTAATGACGTCACGAAAAGAAACCGAACGAGGGCGCCACCGAAACATCTTGCCGCTAATAGACGATCACAAGCACGGCATCCGGCCGCCGCCTCGTCTCTGCTCGTGCGGGCAAGTAGGTGCAATTGCAAGCTTGCCAAAGCTACGTTCACGCGCACACTGCACATGCTTGCACGCGTAAAATAGCTCGTGGCCGGTTCCATTCTGAGTGCTCCTGTAATTGTATCAGCCGGCTCTCGGCTGATGAGAAAGTCAGTCCGACGCTGCTGGCGTGGTTAATGCAACAATAACCAAAGTCTCTTTGGCATCGTTTATAAGCCGAAAACAGGGGTGGGGAGGGGGGCAACGGTACCGACGGCATGACTCAGTGGTATAGACGACATACCATAAGCAGCATGATAAGATTGTCATGCGGTGCGATATCGGCATGATACATTCCCCTTTGTTTAGTAAGAAATATATAAAATAACCTAGGTGAGCAAACGACAAGGGAATACCATGCTAAACAATTTGTTCGAAATGCTGCCCGTACCGCAAGCGCTTGGGTGCAACCGTAGCTCGCGTAGATCTTCTAGGCGCTGGTGGACCGCGTTTGGCCTTGAACAGTTTGAGGAGTGGTCTGCTTAGGAGTAGTTTCGTTGGCTCTTCTTTGAGCCCTTGGATGAAGTTGCATTTCCGCTCCGGCGTCTTCGAAGTAACTGACATCACTGTCAGCTGATGAGTCGCGATTGATTGTTTCCGATGTTGCCAGAAGATGCTGACATTTCCGCCGTAGAGTTGTTCCACTTTCCGTCTCCAAGGTTGAAGATCTAGGCGCAGCTGTACCCGTGACCTTAGCCTTCGAAGACTAGGCCTACATGAACTCAAATCGAAAAATAAAACGGATCGGTTACGGTTACAGTTACCACTTCCTGTTGATAATGGTTTCGTTTTGTTTTTTTACGGTTTTAATTTTTACGGTTTTAATTTTTACGGCTTCGGTTACCGGTTGCATGCGTACCTAAAATTCGCTTTATTTCGGTTTTTCCAACAATTTGTTTAATCGAAATGTTAGAGAGCCGTTTTATAATAAGCGGTTTAAAGTAGTCCCCAATGTTCACCAATGTAAAATTCAAGGAAGTTAGAAACGTCCTAAAACTTTTAATTGGTGAAAAGCTGCACACGTTTATAGCTCCAACGCTTGTTCACTACATCTACTTTCATTATATAGTTTGATACTTATGCATAATTGTTACTTCCGCTACTGCCGGATAATCGCATTCTTTATAATAAAAATATAAATAAACATTCCTGCTTTGTTGTTTGGGAGCTTTTGTAAACAACCCTAAGAAAGTTCCCACTGAGTATTGGAAGAACCACTCGCACCTTCTCGTTGCTACAGTTTATTTCAACTTAATACATGGAGACGAGTCTTCACCCACCCTGAAGGGAGGAGCAGAACAATAGCCATCCTTTAGCAAAATACAGCTAAGTGGAATAAAATAATAAAATTGAGGACTGGGCTAGTTAGTGAAAGCCAAAGGTAATGTAAATACAATAGCCCAAAGCATGGAAGACTAAGGAGAGGAGCGAACGACAGAAAGCTCTACAAATATGTCATGTGTTGTTCGTTCTTTTCCCTAGTCGTCGTTGATGTGCCATATTACACCGACGTCATGCTTGCTATTTCCAAGCATTTGCCTATGGTTATCGAAGCGCACATCTCTCGCTGGCCGATTCTGTGAAGTTAAAAAAATGGTGCGTTTATACTTAAGAAAAAATAAAAAAGGTGCGGACGCAAAAAATGAAAATAAAGTGCGGACGTACATTATGTATATATATAACTGAGAAGAAAAAAGAAAAAAAAACCTTGGTGAAAACCGCAACAACGGACGGTTTATTCGAAAGTATGCCAATGAATGAACAGTCATGGAACAGTACTTAATCGAATGATTAAATGTTTTACGAAACCGCCTAAAGCCAAAATCATCGGCAGAGCCAGCATTTGAACTCTGGGCCTCCCAATGTCCTGTCGGGTGTGTTTTTTATATATTATATTGTATTTATTATACAGGCCGCGGGCTACTTCCCATTTTACATTTGTGTATATGGCTCTGAATTTTTTTATTTTTCGCCCACTGTTTGACTGTGTTTCAGACCAAATTCCTCCTTCACTCAATTGACTTCCCTTTCTTCTGCGTGTTTGGTCGACTTTGCCGCACTGCCCACCGCTCCACCTTCACCCGCTGCCCGACAGCGCATGGGCAGATGCCTCCGGAGTCGGTTTAAGAGTACTTGTAGCGGACTGTGTGCAAGCAATCATAGCCCCTCTGCCAAGGTCAGTATAACTCTGGGAAGCAATCGCCGTGCTCTGGTGCGCGTGCATTGGCGAAAAAGGGACTCTTCTACACGCGGAAAACACAGCTTTGAAGGGGCTTTACACAGCTTTGCTGGGGGATCGGTGGCCGAGTGGTCTAGCGCACACCAGCTCGGAGCACGTGGAGCGAAAGCTCGCGCTGTAGATCCCAGGGATCCTGGGTTCGAGCCCCACCCCTGCCCGTTTCGATCTGGATGAGAATCGTACCGGCGTGCCGTCGTGTATCACTACTGCCTGATGCACGTTAAAGACCGCAGGCTAGCGGTTGTACCGCACTGGCTAAATTTCTCATCTGCAGCTGGGAGACTCGTCTCCCCTGTGAGGCAGACCAAGTTCTAGGCTGTATAAGCACACACACAACCCAATTTATTTTTATTTACACAGCCTTGGCTTGTGGCGACGCACAATCACCAACATTTTGGCGCACTACAACCTCGTCGTCGTCTGCTTCTGGGAAGCACGGCCGCGCGCTACCCAGGCACGCGGGGCACAGGAGCGTCCGTCGACCGCCGCCGCCCAGGCAATAAAACCGCCGTTCCTTTTCTATGTTGGGATTCGCTCGTCACCACGACGCAGCATCCCACATCTGGTGACCCGGAAAACGAACACAACACGTCGCCATGGCCGACCAAGAGGACCTTCAACAACAAATGAAACTACTCCAGGAGCAGATTTGGACCCAGCAGGAACTGATTCAAAGGCAACAGCAGCAGATTCAGCAACAGCAGCACCAACTCGATGGTCCCGTGCAACAGAACCCTGCTAACGCCAACACAACACCGCCCGTGCCTACCAGCACCGCAGCAGGCGGCGGAACCCCTGCAGCTGTCATCTCGGCCGCTGCTTCACTCGGCGTCTGCCGTGTGGCCGTCAAACTTCCGCCGTTTTGGGCGGACTCGCCTGAGGTATGGTTCGCACAACTCGAGGCGCAGTTCTCCTTGGCGCGCATCACCCAAGACCGAACGCGCTACGATTATGTCGTCGCCAACTTGGACAGCCGCTACGCCAACGAGATACGGGATATCCTCGACAATCTACCAGCGGCCAACCTTTATCAACATCTGAAAACTGAACTCAACCGCCGCCTGTCACTATCGGAAGACCAGAAGGTCCGTCAACTTATTCAGTCCGCAGAACTCGCCGAGCGCAAGCCATCACAGTTCCTCCGCCACATGCAAGTCCACGATTTTTTCCTGCGGACACTATGGCTCCAACGACTACCACCACACGTCCAGGCCATTCTGCAGGCTCAACCTACACTACCTCTAGACCAACTTGCCGAAATTGCTGACCGCGTCATCGAGGACAATGTACCGCCGCTGTCGCCCACCGTCCACGCCGTCGAAGCAGCGCTGGACACCACAGAGCTCGCGCACCGAATCGACGATATCACGCGGCAGCTCAGCTCCATTCAACGACGCCTGGATCAAAGTCCTCCGACGCGCCCCCGTTACCGCTCACAGAGCCGTGACCGTAACACCGGCCCGTCACAGCAGCCTCGTGACAGCAGCCTCGTGACAGTAGCCGATGCTACTACCATCGGCGCTTCGGGGACAGAGCCCGACAATGCCGACCACCCTGTTCCGCCGGACATCAGGGAAACGCCAACGGCAGCTTGTGGACGCGGCTACGAGCTGTCAACCCGCAGGCCGCCGCATCTTCGTCACCGATCAAATCACAAAGCAGCGGTTCCTTGTCCACTGTGGCTCTGACATTTGCTGCTATCCTCGTACCCATCTTCAAGGTTCCCATCCACCTACGTCTTTGGAGCTCAGCGCAGCAAACCGGTCCACCATCAAGACCTACGGCCCGATCCGTCTGCACGTTCAACTAAAAAACCTACACCGTGACCTCCATTGGAATTTCGTTATCGCCGACGTCTCCGAGCCAATCATCGGCTTTGGCACACTACAACCTCCTTCCCGACTGTCGCCACGACCGACTCATTAACGCGACAACGGGATTTTCTTCGCCAGGCCAGCGCACGACCACCCCCCCCCCCCCCCAGCCCAGCATTAAAGTACTCGGTGTGGAAAACCTTTCGCCGTACCACGCCATACTCGCCGAATTTCCCGGTTTAACGCGACCCAGCGGGCTGCCACGGGACGTGCGACACACCACTGTACACCACATTCTGACCACACTCCGGGCCCTCCGGTTTTCTGTCGCGCTCGTCGCCTTGCTGCGGACAGCTTGCGCATCGCCAAAGCAGAGTTCGAGTCCATGGTACACGAAGGAATCACCCGCCGATCCGACAGCCCGTGGGCCTCGCCGCTTCACCTTGTCCCGAAGAAGACTGAAGGCGGGCGACCCTGCGGGGAATACCGCGCCCTCAACGCTCGCACCATCCCCGACAGATACCCCATTCATCACATACAGGACTTCGCCCACCGTCTCCAAGGCTGCCACGTCTTCTCCGTGCTAGATTTGGTGAAGGCCTACACGCAGATACCTTTAAACCCGGAGGACATCCCCAAAACCGCGATCATTACACCCTTTGGCTTGTTCGAGTTCCCCTTCATGAGCTTTGGTCTGACGAACGCAGGACAAACCTTTACGTTTCATCGACGAAGTCGTCCGCGGCCTCGACTTCTGCTTCGTCTATCTTGACGATATATTAATCTTCTCCCAAAACGCCGAAGACCACCATAGGCACCTTCGCCTAATCTTCCAACGACTTGATGACCACGGTCTGCTAGTCAATATCCAAAGGAGCACTCTCGGCGCCCCCACTGTCACCTTCCTCGGTCACGAAATTTCATCAGAGGGAACTCGGCCCTTGCCTCACCGCATCTCAGACCTGGAGAATTATCCTCAACCGTCCTCCGCTAAAGACCTCCGTCGTTTCCTCGGCATGCTTAACTTCTACAGGCGCTTCTTGCCTCACACAGCTGACTACCAAGCTCCCCTTTATGATGCCTTGGCTGGTCTACGAGGCAACCAACCCGTCACCTGGACGCCAGCTATAGCGCAAAATTTCGAGAAATGCAAAACTGCACTCTGCGATGCCACACTTCTGTCTCATCCCGTACCAGACGCTCCCTTGGGGCTCTTCACGGACGCCTCCAGTTTCGCAGTCGGCGCCTCCCTCATGCAATGTGTCGACAACATCTGGCGTTCCTTGGCATTTTTGTCAAAGAAACTCTCCATTCCGAAAACGCCCCTCCCACCACCAGCCCCACCGACACAACTACGAACTCCGCTCAGACGAACTGGCCAGCTTATTACAGAGAGCTTCTCGCCATTTACGAAGCAGTTCAGCACTTTCGCCACATCCTCGAGGCACAGCACTGCACCATTTATACCGACCACAAGCCTCTAACCCACGCCTTCTCTCAACGCCGTGACAAACTTTCGCCAGTCCAGCAGAACCAGCTTTCGTTTATCGCCCAGTTCACCACCGACATCCAGCATGTCAGCGGAAAAGATAACGTGGTCGCCGACGCGCTTTCTCGTGTATCGGCTATCAGATCTTCGCCAATAACAGCTGATGTTCTCGCCGAAGCTCAAGCAACCGACACCGAACTTCAGCAACTCCTTAAAGGTGGGTCTTCGCTACAGCTGCAACAAGTCCCCGTTCCTGGGTCGACTACAACCATCTACTGCGACATGTCCACAGGACACCCCAGACCCTACGTGCCCCCGTCCTATCGCCGTAGCCTTTTCCACCAGCTACACCACCTCAGCCATCCCGGAATCCGCGCTTCTTCACACCTTGTGGCTGACCGCTACGTCTGGCCCCTCAAGCTGCGCGACTGCCGTAGCTGGGCGCGCTCCTGCATTCAATGCCAACGCGCCAAGATCACCAGGCATGTTACTTCACCGCTGGGAGCATTTCCTCAGCCCTCTGGTCGTTTTCAACACGTCCATCTTGACATCATAGGCCCGTTTCCGCCAGCCGGACCTTACCGCTACTGCCTCACCGTCATCGATCGATATACTCGATGGCCTGAGGCATGGCCCCTCGAGAGAATCACCACGGAAGACGTCGCTTCGGCTTTCTTCACCGGTTGGATCTCCCGCTTCGGCTCCCCTCGCCGCGTCACAACCGACCAAGGACGACAGTTCGAATCGCAACTCTTCAGGCTCCTCGGGTTCACCACCGGGTTCGAGCACTCGAGGACCACCAGTTACCATCCTTGCGCCAATGGAATGATTGAGCGCTTCCACCGGCAATTCAAGGCAGCCATCATGTGTCACCCTGACTCAACCTGGCTCGAAGCAATCCCAGCCGTCACCCTAGGTCTTCGCGCCACCTTTAAACCGGACATTCAAGCTACACCCGCAGAGCTAGTCTACAGGGAGTTCCTTCGCCTACCAGGGGAATTTCTTGCTGCCCCACAATCCACCATCGCCACATCAAACCCCACCGATTTTTCACCAGGCTCCGGCGCACTATCGCCGCCCACCGCCCGTCACCTGCTGCTCATGACTGCAAGCCTACGCCTTTTGTTTTTAAGTTATCTAGCGACTTGCACACACGCCTTCCTCCGCGACGACACCGTCCGCGCGCCTTTTCAGCCGCCTTACAACGGACCCTACCGGGTTACCCGTCGCGACGAGAAAAATTTCACTCAACACGTGAACGGGAAGGACATCCGCGTTTCTATCGACTGGCTGAAGCCAGCATATATCCTTTCGGACGAATCAAACAACCCGAGTGCATCCTCAAGCGTCCAGCCACAACCCCCGACACCGCAGCCCGCGCCAGTCACTACACGTTGTGGACGTCAAATACGCTTCCCGGATTTTTACAAGCCCTGAGTGCTCTCCACTCCGCGGGGTGGGGGGGGGGGGGGGGGTTGTGGCGACGCACAATCACCAACATTTTGGCGCACTACAACCTCGTCGTCGTCTGCTTCGGGGAAGCAAGGCCGCGCGCTACCCAGGCACGCGGGGCACAGGAACGTCTGTCGACCGCCGCCGCCCAGGCAATAAAACCGCCGCTCCTTTTCTATGTTGGGATTCGCTAGTCACCACGACGCAGCATCCCACAGGCTTATAGTGCTGCACCGCGGCGGCAGACGAGCTTTGCCTTGGGCCGTCTCTCTTATCTTTCTTAATAAAGATATGCCAATAAAGTTGGTACCATCTGTCATGATCCCCGCCGGCCTACCGTTGCGCGCTTGACACGCGATGGCGACCCGGGGGTTATCGAGTCCTCGCGCTCTTGGCGCGAGCAATCTTTTCCTTCTCGTGCTGAGGGCGGCGGAAGGATCTAGAAAACGTCCGAATGGTTTCCCGAGGTTTTTATATAAATATTATTAAATAAATAAATAAATGAAGAAAAATGGCCATGGCAAATCTTGTCCATGGCCGCAGTGCAGCGCAAGAGACAAAGCTCTGTTCTCAGAGTGTAGAAGAGTCCCTTTCTCGGCAATACACGCGCACTATAACACTGCGAGTCGTTCCCGGACGTATATTGGCCTCGGCAGAGGAGCGATGATTGCCTGCTCACAGTCTCCAACATCGACGCTGTAACCGACTGTTGGTTAGCGGGGTAAAGGGTGAGCGGTTGGCAGTGCGGCAAAGTCGGCCAAACACGCAGAAGAAAGGGAAGCCAGTTGAGTGAAAGCGGAATTCGGTCTGAAACTTTGTCAAACAGGGGATGAAGACCCAGAGCCATGGAGAGAAAAGTAAAATGCCAAATAGCCCGCCACCCTTTGGAACGCCTTGAGGGAAAGCGGGCGCTCCAGCGAGCAAAGGACTCGAGGAATAGGAAATTTTCGTACATCGTTTTCGCCGCCCTGCAACGCCCTCCGAAACTCGCTACGATACTCGATAATGATGATGATTGGGGTTTCATGGCGCAAGAGCGACTTTGGCCATATTGCGCAACGAAAGTTATTTTAAAGAGCATAGCAGTTACGTCTAAGCATAGTTATCTAGATATATTAGGCGCAAAACTCCAATTGTATGTAGGAAACTTAAAACGCGAGCAAATGGTACCAGAGGTCTGTCGTTAAGCAAAGAATAAAGATGAAATAGAAGGTGGCTTTTGAAAAGTTCAGGAAAATATTTTCGACGTCGATGATAAAAAAATCTTCAATTTCACAGGGTGTGAAGGACGGTTAACATTTTCCCACGCTTTCACAGTGCTTTACATCTTCACCACAGAGCAAGTGCAGGTGAGTCAATCGGCAATGACCAATTCTCAAGCGGCACAACAAAACTTCCGAACGGCGGTACTTATGGCAGGAACTCTCCCATACCTCTGAGTTGGGCTTGATAACATGAAGCTTGTTATCAACTTCATGTCTTCTAAGTTGGCAGAAAGCGTTAGGTGGTGTTCATTCTCGTTACCAGGAATGCCCACATGACTGGGCGCCCAGCACAATTTTGTAAGTTCTCCTAAATAGAAAACTTTGTTTATCTAAACATGTACCAGTAGCAAACGAGTGTTCTTGCTGTCTGCTAAAGATAAAATAGTTAAGAGAACACTTTGGGAATCGACAGGCAGAACTGCTGTGTTAATGTTATTTTCTAGAATATATTGAACAGCCGTAAGGATGACATACAATTATGCAGTAAAAATAGTTGCTCGAAGGTTGAGTTGCCTAACTTTACTGAACGCGAGAGAGTGAACTGCACAGCCAACGCAGGGAGATATTTTCAAGCCATCAGTGTAGAAGTGGAGGTAGCCCCTGGGTGATTTCATCTCAACTCAGGCACGGATTTAGGGTCGAATTTTTAATTTTGACGAAAAAAATAT